TCCTTCCCACCCTGTACCATGCCAGACCAATAACCAATACTATCAATATGGGGTCATGTGGTGGCTACAGCCAATGGCATCGCAGTAAAACTAGGCTCAACTCACATCACAGACGCATGGCCTCAGGACACATTTAGTTCTACTGCTGTGTTAAGTGCGTAAAAAGTGAATTTCAAATGGAGCTCTTTAGTGTCGAACCTCACGACCCTGCAGCTGATCACACAGGTCTGAGAGGCCGATAATCTATGGGACTCAATGGCCAGATCTGAGGTTAATGTGTGGGTCCCTGGGGTGGGGATGACAGGCCTCTAGCAAGTGCTGGGCAGAAGCACCAGGAAGCCAAGGGTAACGCTGCCTTGTTGGCTGAGGTCTCTCTGGTCAAGGGCGGCACAGGACTAATGTGGGGAGGTCCATTAGTGTTGACTGGCTAAGCACATTGTTCCCTTTGGTCACATTCCTGGCTAAATACAGACATTTCCACAACCGAAGTCCCCGTCTACCAGAAGTCATTTGTCAACTTAGCGTCACGGACGAGTTGACCATATCAAACGTTTATGAAGAACTATTGTGACAAGTACAAGTAGGCCATGCTGCCTCTCCACTGTGAGCGTTTTCTCTGTTTGTTAGGAAAACAAACTCTTTATTATCGAGTGTTAAGTGCTATAGTACTTCACAATTAAAATCACTATTAAATCACATTATATTATAAATATAGAGATACAAAAGTGCTGCATAAGATTTTAGCCCAGTTTTGTCAGCAAATGTATTCTATAAATAGTTGATATGTTCATACCCACATTCAAAGTTAACTCTTGGCAACCAACTCGATTTGCAAGCCTTTTCAGATAGAAGATAACCACTTTTGTTCGACATCATTTGCTTAAGGCTTACAGCATGTTGTCTGGGGCTGATCACAGCAGGGCACTGTCCCATAAACCATGCTGTAAAACGGTATTGGGATAATGGGAGGTAGTGGTTTTGCTGTGGTCAGCACTGCGAGGGAGTTTTCATAGATAAGGCTAATCGCTGCGCTTATCGTCACAGTGGTTGTGTGTTGAGATTGAAAAGCATATGCTCCCAAATGCACACTTAAACCCACACAGGGAAGGGAAAGGGTGAAATGTTCTCTCTCAATTCCTTGCTCACAAGTAGGCCTTTTGTCTCCTGCCATGCCACATCATAAAGCAGGACTGTGTGTGTGACTGTTTGTGTGTCTAGAATAAATGGCAAACTAACTCCACATGTCAATCTTTCTGGGGAACTGGCACAAAACAATAATCGTTAAACTATGTGGTTGAATGACTGATGAAAAATCTACTGGGATGTCCACATTTACGTTGGTTTCTTTCACACACTCACTCTCTCTCCACACACACACACACACATTTCACACACACAGAAGTGCAGTCTCTTCACTTGTCAAAAGCACCACCAAACTATGAGCTACTCTGCACCATTAGAAGTACAATGAGAGGTCCCTGGCCCCACAAGTCCACACACAATCAGCCCCAAGGCCTGCCCCACTCCCACCATTGTCCCATACTCCACACACACACACACACAATGGCCACTCCAGAGCCAGGGGTCCCACTATGCAATTCCATCACACAAAGACACACACCAGTCCTTATCCCGTCAGAGAGACAAGAATGACAGAAGAAAAATTGCAACCCTTGGGGAGGGATTGATCATGGAAGAAAATGAGTGAAACACAAAGTGCAAAGTGTGTGTGGCAGGAGTGTAGATAACATATTAGGGAGGGAGAGGCCCAGTCGGCAAGCTAATATTGTGTGTCCTGTCCTTATCAATTAAGGTTAAACAATCCATGAGTAAATCAATCGGGACAAATGTTGATATAAACTCATTTGTAAGTCAGAGCAGGAACTTTGAGTCGTTTAATAGATGAATCAATACAAATAAATAAAACCTTCACCTATTTCTTTAAATAAAATGCTACGATATTAAGTTTTCTTGCACTCGTTTTATATCATGATAAACTGAATATCTTTTGAAGTGACAAAACAAGACTTTGAGAAACTGGGATGGACATTTTTCTAAATGTTCTGACATTTTATAGACCAAACGATTAATCTAGAAAATAATCGGCACATGATTTGCTATTAAAATAATGATTCGTTTAAGCCCTGGTGGTAGTCTAGCCGAGATAGGATACAACCGTCTGCTGACACATGAAACCTGTAGAATATTTAGCCTCTAACCAATCCCCTAGACTACATCAAACAGAAACAGAGACAACTGTTAGCAGCAATGATAAGATATCAATTCAAAGGGATACTTTCGAACACCACAAAACCAACAGAGATCTGCCGACAACAACAGATGCAGCTCCGCCATTTCCTGCTTCATCATATCAATTCTCTATCTCAGCAGAAATCCTATCATCTACGCAGACTAATGAAGTGACTGTGGAAAACAGGAGTGCAAGGGGAAGTGTCCGGTGATGGAGAGAAAGGAGGTAAGCTCCATACAGAGGCAGCTTACCATATGCGACATAATCCTACTTAACCAAACATCCCAGGAAGGCATGATTACATTCTTTATCCTACACATATCCAGGCACAATGATATCCTTCTGTGTTCACTCGAAGCGATGAGATCTACACAAGTTAAAGGTTAAAACGTGTGTACTGATTGCAACCGTCGCAACAGCAGGAGATCAGACAGATCAGAAAAGCACCACAGATTAACCAGTTCCATAATTCAACTATTTAAAGCTGCCGTTATAAGATCAGAGTTGTTTTTAGATAATGCCTCTCAGGCACAGTTCTTATGTTTACCAATTAGTGCTGAAAGGATTATTCAATTACTTTATTCATCAAATGTAATGAACTTTACATTTACTTTCTGACAAAAACTTCAATGGCACTTAAACCGGCACATGGGCAACATGTACTCCACGATTAGTAAACTACTTTCTTTTTGATAAAAGCTTAGAATATAAGTCTATTTCACAAGCAAGCATATTTTTATTAACTTTGTAACTTTTATTAACAATACAATCGATTAACAAAAAATAAACATATCAAAACATTAAAGGCTGCCCCAGCCACAAAGCTAAATGTAAAATAAGAATGGTTTGATTTGAAGCACACGCACTTTACACTAATCTTACATATAGTAGCTACTGTTACGGCCAACCTAATAAACACGCGCACACACACACACACACAACCACATACATCAAACCCATAACCTAAGCACAATCAATTTTTAGTACCTTCCCAGAAGGACTTAAGATATCTGCTGCCACACAAACACTGAGGTCCTTGTAATAAAGGGCTACTTGTGGTGTGATGTCATGGCAGCCTCCTCAGGGCTGCTGCAAGGAGAGAGTGTGTGTGTGTGTGTGTGTGTGTGTGTGTGTGTCTAGGAATGTGGAGGGCTGAGGCTGGGTGCAGCGGGAGTCAGGAGGGGACAGGGTGGGGGAAGGGAGGGGATCGTCCCAAGTGGAAAAGGGTCCCACACAGTTTGTCAGTCACTCACACGGCCGCATGCCAAATGCTTGCCTGTAACTACTTAGGATGTCACCACGTTGCTCCAACAGGAATAAAAGCTTATTAAATATGTATATTTTGTTTAGCACAAAGGGGCATAGACAATACATGTGTGTTATATACTTTCAAATGTTGTCCACTGGGTCTTCTGTGTGTAAAGCCTAATTGTGTTAAAAGTTATAGTTGTGTCTCTATAAAAAATGGCACAATCAGGGAGTTTATTACTGACACTGGGAAATAATGAACTGAATAGCTGGCGAACATTATAGTACTTCCACTTCCTCCTTCTATAGAAAAGTCGCCTTGCCTTCAACAGAAAGGAGCAAGAACAAACTTATGCAAGCATTTCAGGAATTAGACAATAACACACACACTCACACAGAGACTTCAGCTGACTACTGGAAACCCCCCTGCTGCTCTCACTTCAATGTGCTGTGGACAAGTACCTTACAAATGTATCGGATCACACAGTTACTGGGTTAATATCAGCTTTCTCTGTGCAGACCTGTTTAGATCCAATCACTTCCACACCACCACCAGGAGGAAAATAATCTGAAAAGTAACTTATCAACACATCCAAATCTTTCTTTCTTTCTCAGTCTATAAAAAACATGCAGAGCTTCCAGGATTCTTCATTTGTTTTCTCTGAAAGGTGCTGGATGGTGAAATAAGGTTGTCAGGGTGACAGGGAGAGGATGTCGCTGTAACAACTGTACAGTAGTTAAACCACTTCCTCTTGAACCAGAGTACAGTACTAAAAAGCTGCACCAGATTTCAGTATCTTATCTAGCCAAACCACGGACTATTGCCCTGATCCTGAGAGCAACTTTAAATCAACAGGTTTTTTGATTGGAAGCGGATGTTGATAACTACTGTGCGTTAATCAGCGATGCAGTTACTGTCAGCTAAACAAGAAACACAAAGGTGGATAGAATTTCACAGTGGTGTAAAGTGCATTTTGGGGGGATTTACTTAAGTATAAAGATGTTTCCTATTTTGTATTTCTACTTCCACTACAAATCAGGGGTCAATAGTGTACTTTTACTCCACTATATTTACCTTATACCTTTAGTTACTTTGCATATTTGGATGAATGATGTGAAATATAATCAACACTTAAATAAGACTGTAGTTACACCTGGAGTAAAGTCACAAGCTACCCTGCAGTATACAAAGTCATTAGAACTAGATGCCCCTTTGCCAGCTTTGATAACACTTGAATGCATCAATAGTTATAATCAAAACATATGAAATGGGCCATGGTGCATAAATAATACTTTTACTTTTGGTACTTTAAGTATATTTTGATGCTAATACTTTTGTGATTTTACTTGAGTAACATTTTGATTGCAGGATTTGTACTTGTAACAGAGTATTCTTCAACTCTAATACTTTTAGACAAGATCTGGGTACTTCTCCCACCTCTGTTTGTGAGTAAACAAGAAACACAATGGCGGATAGAATTTCACAGTCAAGCAAACTTACCATTATCTCCAGGTGTTTTCATGTTCTAGCTTCGAACAGCGAGCAGCTAAAGTTGGTGGTGAATTCCACAAAGTTGCCCGTGGAAAGAAAAGTCAGTCTCTGGGCCTTTTCCTCCCCCCCTTCTCTCTAGTTTGCAATCTGGGAAAAGTAGGTGAAGAAACACGGCAAACTTTTGTAGCTTCAGCGGCTCTTTCTTCGCGAGCCGCCGCCGCCGCGCGCTCTCTCGGTCCGGGTCCCCGGTTCTCTGCCAACCGTCCAAACCGACCGTCAACACCTCGCTGTTGCTCCTAGTAACTTGGACCGTTGAAATCTGCGCCGGAAAACGACCAACCGTCCCGAATGGAGCCTCTTTGAACAAGTAGTTTCGCTAACTGTCCGGAAGCTGTTTACTCCGCATCTTCGTCGCTGTTTGACATCACTCCGCCGCAAAACGCTTTGACAAGAATTAACGTTGGAGTAGAAAACTCTCTTTCTTTCTTTACGGACTTTTTCTCCACTCTCTCTCACACCATTCAGTGCTGCTCTCTCCTCCCCCCCGTGCGTCTCTCCGTCCTCCGGGTGTCGTGTTTCTCTCTCTCTCTATCCCCGCCCACACTGACGGGAGAGAGGGAGAGGGAGGGGGGGGCTAACGTGGCGAGTCACGCCCACTCACCACGAGCCGGGGGCCTCGGCTGGCGTCACTGCAGCACGCGGCGTTGCCTTGGAGACCGTCAAAGCGCGTTGCCGTGGTGACATCATATCCGGGTCCTAAAAGATTCGAGAGCGGCTCGGCTTTTTACGTCAACAATCCTCGGTTGGTTACGTTTCTGATGAGGTCCCTTCACATCAGGATTGTTGTTACACTTTTTTAATCGATAAATTAAACATGAAAGCGTCAGATTTGACCAACATTAACAAAAATAAATTTAAAATCAGTATTTATGCACATCTCATAATTTTAGTTTGGAGGAAAATACTGCAATAAATAAAACGTAAAATAAAGTCACAGAATTAGTCCAAAAAGACTAAAAAGGGTAGACTAAATCTGCTTTAAAAAAAAAGAAAAGAAGCCATAAATACAATATTTTCTTTAAATGTTGTAATTTTCACCTTGTTTTCCATAGTTTTTTGTTAATCTGACAAGTTAATTATAAAACATGGCAAGCTTGATGTTATTAATTGAACAAAAGTGTGTTAACCCCTTATATTCTGCTCTCTTGTTCCTTGTAAGAAGGTACCCAGTTACAAAATAATGAATATGACATTTCCTGGAAGGCTTTACCTGTAATTGCTTTGGAGTGATTCTTGAAATTCAATACTTGAGGCCTCAATGTAGCCTATTACATCTGAATATGAACCTGCATCCTGTTCTGATGCCAGTTTATCATTGGGCATTAACACCCTTTTCATCATCTTCTTTTTGTTAAGGTGCAGCCAACTGAATTAGGCCTTCAAGTCACAATGAATGCATGTTCATCATGTGCATTAGAGCACAGAGACATCCGAGCACACAGACATCCGGTCATGTCAAATGTAACTCTTTCACCTGAACAGATGTTCAGCATGGCTCGTTAGATTGTGTGGACCGGTGTCATGCCCAGGCTTGTTTCGTGTCACCGTGACCTTTTGCTTCCTCCTGTGCCACTGATATAAAAGCTGTCACATGTTATCAATAAGTGCAGATGTAAGTGCAGATGAGTGGGTGTGTGAGGCGTCATACATGGGAGGTGAAGTGCATCTCCTCTGTTGCCTTCTTGTGTCACACCTGGGTCAGTGGCTGAAGGCTTTATGTGTGTTTTTGGTGCATTTGTTGTGACATCAGCGATACACACCATTGCCCTGCCTTGTCAACAGGATAAGACAGCGGTAGTAAAACAAAGTAAACATAGTCCCCTGACAGCAGCAGGGTGATTTACAAACAGGATTTCTCCTCTCTTCACTGGCCATTCTCTGACAGACGCAGGAACCCACTCTGCTCTGCCTGATAAGAAACCGGACCTAAAGAGAGAGACAAATCCACGTTCAGGAAACAGCTCTCCTGTCCTGTCTTCTTTTTCAGCGCAGGAACAACCCACTGCACTGTGGCATTGTCTCACGCTGAGGCTGAGAAACAAGAGAGTGGCACTATTCCCTTGTTTCTTTTTTTTTTTTCTAGAGCATGCATCCACTATACATAACTATCATTTCCCCATCTTCTGATGCCTGTGTTTCTGGCTGAGGTGACGAGCTCTTCAGCGTCTTCACACCCAGGGTAAGATGAGAGGGAAGAAATCACAGAGAGGACAAGAGGTAACGCTCCAGAGGAAGAAGGAGAGAGAAAAAACACCTGAGAGTCAAATAGGAGTGATTTAGTGATTGACTGCAGGGTGGAAACACAGTGTGTGTGCCGGTGTGGGAACAGGCTCTATTGTAACTCAAGCACATGAGATGACATTTACAGACAAATCTACAGTACAGTACATTCTGAACACTGATAAACACAGCGCTACACTCAGCAGCCTCCCTCTCTCCTCCTCCTCACTGTGTATCCACCTCTCCTGTTTTCTCTCCCTCCTTCCATCCCTCTGTTTGTTTGCAGTCCTGTCGTCTTTCACCACTCATCCAGACGTCCGTTCTCCCTCCCTCGCTCTCACACCTCTTCTGTTTCTCCTCCCGCTCCACGCCTCCCTCTCTTTGCCTCCCTCACACTCATTTTCAGGTCATCATTATTTGAGCTCAAGGTTGATGGACTCATGAGCTGAATGTGTGAGAAAATCTTAAGCGTGGTTATACATTCATGTGTATGGATTGTGAGTCAAATGTTCTTGCACATTCCCATTTTGTTGGTGAATCTAAATAATTGTGCTAACTTTAATATCCTAAAAGGTATATTTTTTTTATCCAAGAGAGAGAACCGCAGTGACGCGTCCTAAAACCCGGAAGTAAGTTAGCATTTTTACCACGTCCGGTTCCTTCGATAAAAAGCAATGCAATTTCTCCATAGGATTTTGGAAAATAGCTCCAAATAAGGTCTGTGTTTGAGACACATTGAAGAGATGGATCACGTTTTGTTCTACGACATTAAATACATCAGCAGTGACCCCACTGGTGATTTTTGAAGAGTTTACGTTTAAAAACGATGGTTGTTAACATGTGGCTGAACTACAGAAGTTGTCCAGGCCGTTTTACGTAATTACGCCGAACACGTAAACACTCCTCTACGTTTGTTTGCCCTGTTCTGCTTGAAAGCAAGTACCTGCCTCCTGCAAACTGTTCAAACAAACGCTTCAACTTGTACCATTTACAATCTGTATGTTTGAATATGGATCTTAAGTTGGCGTGACGTTGAAGTTGTGCTGCTAAACTCGGCTGTAGTTCGTTTAGCATTTTACGTTAGCATTTTGCTTCTGGCGACTAGATTTATAATTCGAAAATTATAAAAGTAGGGTAGACATGTGGATATTATCTGGCTGAACAAAACGTGATCCGTCTCTTAAATGTGTGTCAACCACAGACCTTATTTCGAACTATTTTCCAAAATCCTATGGAGAAATTGCATAGCGTTTTTGACGAAGGAACCGGAAGGACTTTACTTCCGGGTTTTAGGACGCGTCACTGCGGTTCTCTCACGTTAATATTTTGAAGGGAAAAAAAGAACTTAGCTGCAAGGACATAGCTGTTCTTACAACAAAGTCAAATGGGGTCTCATTCATGGGTATCTGGGAAGGTCATTCTCTACATAGGAAGTTTTAATTTAAAAATGTATAATTATATCGGACAACGCTTTATAAATTAGGCAAACATAGCAGACAAAATAAATTGTATTTGTCCTTCTGTTAATGAAATGCTGTCTGTTATTGTTGTTTTGATTCATTTCACAACAGATGGTGGACCTTTGCAGTGTGCTTGCTTATAATAAAGTTATCACAGAGTGTCTCATTAGGATGTGAGCGCTTGCCAATGACAGAATTATTTTTTGTAAAAACAACAACAATCATTCTACGAGTAGTTACCATTGGAGGCAAATGTCAGCTAAATTCAAGGGAAACTCTCAGAAGTTGCCAAATTAAGTATCTTTTGTCCTTTTTGCTTATGCTTAGAAATTGAAATAAAAGCTCTGACATGCTTATTTAAAAAGCAGTATTTTGTGTTCCCAGGGGCCGAGACCAGAGGCGTGAGACCTTTTTTTCATATTATTTTCTATATCTCCCTTTCTAACAGCCATTTGGCCGAAGATAGGTATAAGATGTCCTTAAATATAAGTTAAAACGTACAATTTGTGTTCTCGAGAAGCCCAGTCAGAATGATCGGGTTGTTTTTCAGGTTTGATATTGAGCATTATGATCTGCAATATAGAAGAAAGCTAATTTTCCATGTATGCAATGAGTTTTTCACATTTAATCCTTGAATATGTCACATGCATTTGGTCATTAAATCAGGCCCGCCTGGCTCTTGGGGAGCGAACGGGATGATGTGTTTGACAAACAGAGTGTATCACAGAAGAGCCTTGTCCTATTGGTTCCACATCATCTGTAACTCCCTCTATCTCCCATCCCGCCCTTTTTCATCCCCTCCGTGCTTTATGTGACTCTGTCCGTTCCTAATCAGAGTGACAGACAGACGCTCCGCAGAGAAAGACGGGGAGAATGAAAGGGAGAGCGGAGATCTTGTCACTGGAGTGTTTGTGTGTATGTGAAAGCTCGCCGTTGGGGTGGGTGTGAACATCAGATATCTCAGATAGAAGATCTTACCCACCCCCCATCCTCTGCACTTCTGATCTCATGCGAGCTTCCCCAATCTGGACGACATGATTGAAATCAGTGCCAAACAATCATAGCTGATGCGCACTACAGTGGCTCAAGAAGGACAACAATCCTACAGAGTTTTTGTTTAGTGGTGTAACTTCATAGCATGCAATGCACTCATCACTCATATACACACTGGTTTCTTCTGGTGTTTGCCTCAACAACACAGATGGCTCCAGTCAGTGTAATTACCGTGGACAATGGGTGTGGTAGCCCACTAACCAGTGCCACCACAGGCAGTGCAGACACACACACACACACACACACACACACACACACACACACACACACACACACACACACACACACACACACACACACACACACACACACACACACACAATGTATGTACATGATGTCAGCAACCAGTGGAAGCCAGGCAGGATTATAATTCCTGGACAGGGTGTAAAACTACCAACGGAAGTGTTATATGTATATGTGATGATTCATACCACTGGTGATGTGAACACACACACACACACACACACACACACACACACACCCAAACACACACTCTTTTCAACTCTCTCCTGCCTTGGATTTATTTTTATTTTTCACCTATTCTTTGAAAGTGCTTCAATTATCTCTGACTTCCATCAAGTGATCTTACATAATCAACTTCAGGCGGTATTGAATGAAAAGCCTGCAAAGTTAAACCCTTGTTCGGCTTCAATTCTTCACGTGGAGAACCTTGACTGAGGAGAAAAAGGTTTTTTCTTCCAGTGCGAGTGTGAAAGGAGAAGCGAAGATGGGTCGCAAGACTGAAAGGCGTGCAGGGCGAGAGCACACCGGATGAAAGAAAGAGCCGGCAGCTGAGGGGA